TGCCAGGTCTCTGAGAGTCTGGATGAGACCATAGCTCTGGTAATGAACTACAGGTTCCAGACTAGATATGAAGAAAGAGATGCCACAAATGGGCTGATACACTGGAGACAAGGAGGGATCAGAGGCTGGCAAGCAGAGAAACAGTGGCGAGCAGAGCCAGGGAAGCAGCTGTGGGATGAGCACTTCCGTGGAAGAGGGCACATCCATCCACCGGACTAGGGGAGGAGACGCAGCTTCTCCTACAGAAGCCCCCAGCTCTGCCTACTTTCTGCCTCCCCTTTCTCTGGATTTCTTTCCCCAGGTGTCCCAAGTACCTCTGACTGGACTCTGCAAACCCCTCAACACTGCACAGGTCCAAAGCTAAACTCATCTTCCCCCGAAAGGAGCTCCTGCTTCTCTACATTCCCTCTCTAGTGACTGGGAACTTTATCCACCCAGCTGCCCAAGAGGTAAAGCAGAGTCAACTTCAACTCCTCCCTCTCCCCAGATCCAATCTGCTTTATTGACACAACCTACCAGAATACACATCTTTAAAATCCTTCTATCTTCTCTCATCAGCCCATCAGACTCCGTTCTCTCAGCCCTGCCTATGATTTCCCTCCTGCCTCCATCTCAATTTGTTCATCCACTGAAATGTCCTAGGGTGGGGGGGACAAGGAGGCTTTAAAAATACACATTTCTTAAAACAAAAAATAACAGGTTTCTGACACTCATGCTAACTCTTCTGAATCTCACCCTCTGGGGAGGAGAACCAGGAAGGTGTGCATTCAGAAAACACCGTGATTGATTTTTGTTTGCAGCTGGTATAGGAGCAGCATTTGAGAACCACTGCTCCATGACCAAAAGTAATCCTTCCTCTTCCCTCCCACAGCAAATGAGAAGTACACCTGCCCTGGGCCCCAGATCCTCACCTCCTCACAACTCAGGTCTATCACTCATTCTTGTCTGTATCTTCAACCACACCCTTCCCACTGGGTTTTTCCCAACACCTTTTAAACACGCTAAGCCTCCTCTCCACTTAAAGAAACTCCCCCAGCCTGGCGCAGTGGCTCACGTCTATAGTCCCAACACTTTGGGAGGCCGAGGCAGGCGGATCACGAGATCAGGAGATCGAGATCAACCTGGCCAACATGATGAAACCCCGTCTCTGCTAAAAATACAAAAATTAGCCAGGCGTGGTATCGCACACCTGTAGCGCCTGCTACTTGGGAGGCTGAGGCAGAAGAATCACTTGAACCCAGGAGGCGGAGGTTGCAGTGAGCCGAGATCGCACCACTGCACTCCAACCTGGTGACAAAGCAAGACTCCGTCACGAAAAAAAAAAAAAAAAAAAAGAAAGAAAGAAACTCCCCCTTACACCTGCGGTCACCTCTGACCACAGGTCATTCTCTTGATTCTCAGAAATGAGATCTTGAAAGCACTTTCCAAGTTCACTGTCTCCCATTTATATCCCACTCATTTCTCAGCTAATTATAATCTGAATTCTCTCCCCAACTATTCTGGAAAGGTTCTGGGGGGCCTCTTTCTTTCCCACAGGTCGCACTTCAGGCCTGTTTTGAAAATCTCTGCAGCGTGTAATGCTATCAGCCACTCTTCCCTGAAATTCTCTCCTCCCGGGTGTCCCCCTACTTCCTTGGCCATTCCTCAGTTTTCTTCCCTGGCACCTACTCTTCTCCCTCTTTAAAGTTTAAAATGTTCACAAGTTCTGTCCCTAGTTCTTGTCTCACCTTCCACTGTCCCCTGAAAGACTTCACCACACACCTCTTAGGAACTGCTCACTCCAGCCATAACCACCCCTAATTCATTCCCTCCTGCCTCTTTGCCAAGCCCTGTCCAGTCTGTCCCTCCCAGAGGCCTTCTCCACACTATGATGCCTGCCAAACTCTCAACAGTCAGTCCAAATATTGCTACATTGGGAAGTCTTCCTTAACTGTGCCTCCCCACAACCAGCCCACCCCCTGCAATAAACCCACAGCACCGAGCACAGATGTTCTTTTCAAAAAAGTTTTGCCCCAATAGACACTGAACTCCTTGAGAGTGGGAACTATATCTGGAAAATATTAGGCACGCAATTAATGTTGGCTGAGTCCATCATTACACAGTGAACACACTGTGAGGTAAACAGAAGCTTATTAATAAATGCAGTAAATGATACACATATTACTCAACATAGAGCTGAGTGACAGTATTGGTCTATAAGTAAGGAATCTAAAATAAGTCATGATCACTAATCCTATGCAGTTTTATCCGGTCATAATTACGTGACTGGGCAGACAGCAATATAGTTCCAAGCCCTTGAAACAGCCACAGCAGGGTGTTTTCAACTGTATTGCTGTACCCTTTCTTCAAAACGAAGAGTTTTCAACTCTCACATGGCTGGCTCCTTCACACCATCTGGGCCTCAGCTCAGTGTCACCTTCCCAGCTACCCTCCATGACCATGCGTGCTAAAGTGGTCCTCCACCATAACTTCGGTGTTTGTAGTTACCCTTTCATTGTCTTCATGTCACTTGTCACTATGTGAATCATACTGACTTGTTAGCCTGTTTGATGCTGGTCTCCTTTATCCTGCTTATTACTTTATCCTCTGTATATCAACAATGTGTGGCTGATATGGGTACTCAACAGACACTTGTTGAATGGCTGAGAGAGAAAGGCAAGTTTAACACTGAAACACTATTATCTACTAACCACAAAATGTTGGAAACATGCAGGTGGTAGGAAATGTCAGGGATTTCTCCCTGGAAAGGGACTGTTATTCACCACCCATGGAGGTGGGGGTAGGCACACATATCATCCTTCTTTCAGATTCTTACTCAGGATCAGAATTTTGATTTGCTAAAGGGTCCCTCAACTTATCTAAAGGAAATCATGGGCAGTGGCTCACGTCTGTAATCCCAGCACTTTGGGAGGTCGAGGAGGGAGGATCACTTGAGGTCAGGAGTACAAGACCAGCCTGGTCAACACAGCAAAACCCCGTCTCTACTAAAAATACAAAAATAGTCAGGTGTGATGGTGGGCACCTGTAATCCCAGCTACTTGGGAGGCTGAGGGGGAAGAATCGCTTGAACCCAGGAGGTGGAGGTTGCAGTGAGCCGAGATCTGCCACTGCACTCCAGCCTGGGTGACAGAGTGAGACTCCATCTCAATAAATAAATAAATAAAACGAAGGAAATCACTTCCCCCTCAGTGGGTAGCTTCTCCAGAGAAAAATGTTAAAGCTGACACACAGCCTTTTCTAATGACCAGTCCTGGAAAACTGTGCCCAAGCTCCGTCAGCACCATAAGCACTGAGATCAGGACCTGCTCATTGCTGCATTCCCAGCACCTAGCCCAGTTCATTGCCCAGAGGAGATGCCCAAAATGTTTGTAAAACACATGTAGGACAGCCTTCTGAGGAACGGCCATCCCAACAACTCTTAACACTGCAGAAGCACTTAATTTTAGAAACAGGCCAAGACAGCTGCAGAGGGGCTCTGGGTCTAGGTCTCTCCCTGGGCAACAGTCTGGTTCCTAGAATTCAACACTCACCACCATGTGCCATAGATAATAAAATTTTATCTTCCCCACAGTCGCCCTGTATCAAATTTGAATACACTTGGCCAATATAATCTCATGACTAATACAGTACAGCAACCAATAACAGATTTCTCTTGCCCTTTAAATTTTTTCTATGTATTTTGGCCAGCAAGAATAGATCTAAATGCTAAAGAACAACAGAAATTGAATAATTCTACCATTAATTTCATAACCACCAGTACCTGGCTCACTGTATGATCCCAGGAAAACCACACCGCCTTCTTGAGCTGTCAGCTTCAGCTACAGTCATAACGCTCTTTATCTACAGGGTAGTTTGGGGAAGATTAGTTTTGTTTTGTTTTTTGAGACGGAGTTTCACTCTTGTTGACCAGGCTGGAGTGCAATGGTGCAATCTTGGCCCACTGCAACCTCCGCCTCCCAGGTTCAAGCAATTCTCCTGTCTCAGCCTCCCGAGTAGCTGGGATTACAGGCATGCACCACCACACCCCACTAATGTTGTATTTTTAGCAGAGACAGGGTTTCTCCATGTTAGTCAGGCTGGTCTCGAACTCCTGACCTCAGGTGATCCGCCTGCCTCGGCCTCCCAAAGTGCTGGGATTACAAGCATGAGCCACCAAGCCAGGCCGGGGAAGATTAGTTAGTTGTAACATACTCTGGGACCAATGCATGAAAGATGCCATAAATCAAATTAATTATGAAACAAAAGGAATCATAAATATTGAAACCACTTCAAAACCTGAGAAACTGAGAAGTGAGGAAGATTTAAAATCATGCCTGTGGCTCTGATACTAACTTACTGTCAGACTATAAGACAAGACACGTATTCTCAGAAGATTCATGACATTCCCAACAGATCTTTAATATTTGGAAATGTCAGGTATTTCTGTCCTCCAGCAGCATTAACTTCACATGGAGTATGAACAGTGACAAGCAATTGCAAAATTAGAGCAGTTCTCTGTTGCTGTACCCGTGCCTGTTAACACTCAGTCTACCGTACGCAAAGTCAATTCCACACACTCAGTGGCAGTGAGAAAAGCCGTTCAACTGGCTGTAAAAACACTTCTCCGCCCCCTACCTGCTGACCACCGCTAATACGCCAAGAAAACAGCAACATCCAGCAGCACAGCTGCGCTCCCTCGCCACAACTTCCTAACTTCCCTCCACTTGAAAGCACTCTCATCAGTGCGTGTTTGTATAAAAACTCTTCTTGGAGACTGGAGAAGAAACACATCCAAGTGAAACTGAGAGGTCAGCTTCTAAAGCGGAGGCTGAACTTTGCAAGTGGGGGCGGGGGGGAGTCAATTCGGTCCCCCAGGAGCCTAAATGAATAGGGAAAGGTGAGGGGGACGGCCCCTTCCATCAGCGCCGCACACGCGCCGCAAAGGGCCTGGGGCCGGCCCACGAGAACACCAGGGCATCTGCCCACTTGCAGCGGCCCCAAGACACTCCTGGGCATCGCACCTGGGGACACCAGGTGGGGTCCGGGCGGGCAGCGGGGCTTTGTTCCTATTAGCCCCTCCAGGCCGAAATGGAGACGGTTTCCGCTGACCTCCCAAGACCAGGAACTAGCAGGGTTCGGACGCCAGTCTGGAGGGTCGGCCCCACCACCTCCGGCAAACCCGAGGGTCCCCGCTGCCCCAGCCTCCTCAATGAGGTGCCCAGGGTGGCGTGTAGGGGGCAGCCAGAATGGCGGAGGCCGGTACTCACAGAGCCCACTGGAGCCGGTGCTGGTGAACATGGTCCCGCCGGGCTCGGAGCCCCCGAGGGGGCCGGGGGAGGGGAAGCTGAGGTGGGAGCCCCGGCGACCGCGCAGGCGCACTCCCGGCAGAGCGACGAATCCGGCTCCGCGAGGCCACTCGCCGCGGATGAATGGCGCATGCGCAGCCAGGGGCGTGTGCCCCCTGGGTCAGCGCCCTCCTTCCTGCCGGGGAAGGGAAGTGCGTCCGTAGGGGAGGGCCCATCTCTCCAGGTTGAAACGATGGTGGTCAGAGCAGCCTGAGGCAAAAACGGGTGGCACTGGGGCAGCGGAGGCGTAGCTCCTGGGAGCCTCACACTTGGGCTCAGTGCCGCCTCACCTCTGGTGGATCCGCGATGGCCGCGGATTCCTCTGGATTGCCGGCGCTGGGCAGGAACGCCATCTCTAATCTCTCCCGAGACTGGACGCCCGGCGCCTTCCCCGCGCTTTGTGTCTTTCCGGGCGGTCCCTCGAAGCTGGCTACCCCCGGGCTGTTGACTGCAGTGGGATCTGGTCACTCAGATGCGGATGGAGGGGTACGGGAGCCGGAGAGGTGGAACAGGTCCCTCCGGGTGCGGAGATCTGGGCCGTCCAGCCGCCTCTTTGTTCCCTCGTGGGTCCCGCGCGGAATCCCCACCACCGGAGCCGAGTGTCGTGGCCCCAGGAGTCAGCACCCTGCCCTCCCCGCCGTGGTGGCGGGTGTCTGGGGGTCCCCGGCGCGGCGAGCCCGGCGGAGCGACCCAGCCCATGTGCCCCGGCGAGCTTCCGTACTCAGACCATTTAAATTTTTTCCCCTAGAAGAATGAAGTTACTCTGCCAAAATCACGGTTTTAAATGAGTGTGAGCCTGAAAGCATATTATGCAGTCGTTTTAAAAAGTTTTTTTTTTAAGTTGATCTCGTAAAAGTAGAGTAAAAGAGTGGTTATTCTTGTACAGAGGAGAGTTAGTGGGGAGGGAGGATGGGGAGAGGCCGGTCAACAGGCGCAAAGTTACAGTTAGGAGGAATATATTTTAGTGTTCTCTTGCACATTTGGATGACTATACTCAACAATAATGTTGACTTCAAAATAGTTAGAAGAGAGGATTTTGAATGTTCTCACCACAAAGAAATGACAAGTGTTTTGGTGATGGATGTGCTAATTACGCTGATTAGATCGTTGCACAATGTGTTTATGTATGGAAACATCACACTGTACCCCAGAAATTAAAAAAAAAAAAAAAAGCTTTTTCAGTGCTCATAAGTGCCAGCCAGTGTGCTAAATCTGAGATTCGTAGATCAACAGTCCCTGCCCTCAAAGAGAGGTTCCAGTGGGCCAAAATGTTAACATTGATTATTTTTAGAAGGCAAAAGTATGACTTTTATTTGCTTCTTTAGGCTTTATTCGTAAAGTTCATTTTCACAGTCTTTTTTTTGTTCGTTTGTTTTGAGACGGAGTCTCTCTCCCCCCAGCTGGAGTGCAGTGGTGGGATCTCGACTCACGGCGACCCTCTGCCTCCCCGGTTCAAGCGATTCTCCTGCCTTAGCCTCCCAAGTAGCTGGGACTACAGGCACCTGACACCACGCTTGGCTATTTTTCGTATTTTTAGTAGAGATGTGGTTTCACCATGTTGGTCAGGCTGTTCTCGACCTCCTGACCTCTTGATCCGCCCGCCTCGGCCTCCCAAAGTGTTAGGATTACAGGCGTGAGCCCAGCCCATTTTCACAGTCTTGAAGTACATTTTACATTTACCTTTAGGTTCGTTCGAGTTATTTTTCAGGAAAACGACAGTCAAAACGTCCTTTATGTTTGCAGAAGCTGTTGATTGGCTACACCCTGACCCATTAAGGGGATGCAAAGTCCAAAACTACTTTCATAGTAATGCTAAGACAGTAGTTTTATTTTCTGCTCTCAAGTATATAGTGGAGTTTTCCACTGTACAGTTGGACCACTGTACAGAGCTACATAACTGGACTTTCCAGTTGACTGTTGCACAATGTTATGAAATCTTATGTGGGTAAAAGATCAATTTGAACCATAAAATACACCAATAAACTTTAGTGTAACAGTCCAAAATGTTCATTCATATGGTTTCAGATTCCTCATTGCAATTAACCTTTAAGAAACTACCACTTGCTAAGTTATGGTGTAGTATCAAAAAGTAATGTATCATCTGAAAGGGTATTAAAATGCTTCCTTTTCCAACCACGGGGTGTATCTAGGTGAGGCCAGGTTTTCCTCGTATGAGTCAACCAAAGCAATGTATCGCCACAAACTGAAAGCAGAAGCAGATATGAGGACCCAGCTGTTTTCTATTGAACAAGACATATGCCTGCCAAACACAGTGGCTTAGGCCTGTAATTCCAGCACTTTGGGAGGCTGAGGCAGACAGTTCACTTGAGGTCAAGAGTTTGAGACCAGCCTGGCCAACATGGCGAAACCCTGTCTCTACAAAAAGTACAAAAAATAGCTGGGTGTGGTGGTGCACACCTGAAGTTCCAGTTTCTCGGGAAGCTGAAGCATGAGAATAGCTTGAACCCAGAGGCGGAGGTTGCAGTGAGCCAAGGTTGGGCCACTGCACTCCAACCTGGGGGAAAGAGAGAGACCCCATCTCAAAATAAATAAATATATACATACATGCATACATTTGCCAAAATGTTAAACCATGCTATTTTTCCAATAATTTTTTGCTTGGGGAAGTAGAGTAATTTTGCATTAAAAAAATGTTAGATATGTTAATATGTAATGGGTATGTTATTGTTATTTTTTTAATGAACTTCATTTTTTTTACATTTCTCGGTTTCAATTCCTACTATGGTAAACACTCATAGGTATAAACCCACATAAACTAAAGATCTGTAGTTCTTAATAATTTCTAAGAGTAAAGGGATTCCAAGACAAAAAGTTTGAGAACTGAAATTTAAAAGTGCTCTAAAGCTTAAAAAAACATAAACCCTTCACTTACGTTCAATTCTATAAATATTCTTTGCAACTAAATGCAAGATGGTATGGCATCCAGACTGCTCGTAAGTATCTGCAGTGATCCATACCTTGATTGTACATCTACTCTGCATCCAGAGGACCTGAACACGCTAACTGGTGGCTGCAGATTTGTCTTCTAAGGAGCAAGTGTGGTCTGTGGACAGGCAGCTTCAGCCTCACGTGGGATTTTGTTTACACTAGTCAGTGCCAAGCCCTACCCTAGACCTGTTAAAGCAGAACTGGTATTTAACAAGACACCCCAGGAAATTTGTGCGTACCTTAAAGTCTGAGATGCACTAATGTAGTGATTCTCGGGGGACAATTTTGACCTCCAGGGGACAATATCTGGAGACATTTTTGGGTGTCACAACATGGTGGGGGAGGATGCTACTTGCATCTAATGGGCTGAGGCCAGGGGTACTGCCAAACATCCAGCAGTCCGGGGCCAGCCTCCCCCAACTCCTGCCCACAGTAAAGAATTACCCCGCCCAGATTGTCAGTAGTGCAGAGGTGGAGAAAACCCTACAGCCGTGTGACTCATCTGACCTTTACTGTGAATTCCTGGAACTCCTGGTGCATACCATTTCTGTTACTCTGGCCGCTATTTACACCTTTTCTCTAGATTTTATTACAAAAACTCATTCTGTTGATCCCTAGGAATCACCTATTGCCTTGCTATGTTTTGCTGAACCTGTTTTTGATTATGCTTTCCACACTGGGGAAATAGGAGTATGTTTGTAAACCTTAGAAGCTATGTACACTATAAGGAAATCACCGGACGTGTGGATAAGCTTTGCAGAGGTGAAGGGCTGTCTCCACCTGAGAGACCCAGGCATCAGGGTAAGCCTGACTCATCATGAGATCAGGTATCCCAACCCACAGCGGACTTCCACAGCTCACCTTCCTAGGTAACCGCTCTGCCTTCCCAGGTAAAGTACGAATAATATCAGAACTTAAAGCATATTTTGAGGTCAAATTTATATAATTTGGTGATTTCATTTTTATTATTACTCAACCTTTTATTTACAACCAAATTAATAAGGCTACTTACACATAACAATGTGTGGACATACACATTAAAATAATCATTTGCTGCCTAGCACTCCTACCTAGGTACTTTAAGAACATCATTGAGTGGATAAGTTACCCACTCCCTCTGCCGGGTAAAATACTTTGCACAATATCAACTGAAATGATACCTTTTCCAAACTGTAATGGCAGAAGTAGGTATCCCCTCTTTTGTGCTGGCATCACGCTTGATGCACACCTACGTTGTCATACTTAGGCCAGTGTCTCTGTTACTGAGTTTCTGTCTTCTACTGTGAATGGGTGAGCCCATAAAAAACAGGGAATGTGTCTTACAAAATGTTGTATCCTGCTCATTTTGATGTGAAGCTATTGTCTTCCTTCAATAAAAACAGCATTTCCGAGGTCTTAGCATCAGTAAAATCTCCAAGTGGGTAAGGTTAAAGAAAAAATTATTCATGACACTTGTTCAGTGTGGTGCAATAGTCTGTTCTTACACTGCTATAAATACCCAAGACTGGGTAATTTATTTATTTATTTATTTATTTATTTTTATTTTTATTTATTTATTTATTTATTTTTTGAGATGGAGTCTCGCTCTTTCGCCCAGGCTGGAGCGCAGTGGCAAAAACTCGGCTCACTACAAGCTCCACCTCCCGGGTTCACTCCATTCTCCTGCCTCAGCCTCCTGAGTAGCTGGGACTACAGGTGCCTGCCATCACACTCGGCTAATTTTTTTTTGCATTTTTTTAGTAGAGATGGGGTTTCACTGTGTTAGCCAGGATGGTCTCAATCTCCTGACCTCATGATCCACCCACCTTGGCCTCCCAAAGTGTTGGCATTACAGGCGTGAGCCACCACACCCAGCCTATTTTTTTATTTTTTTGAGATGGAGTCTCACTCTTGTTGCCCAGGCTGGAGTGCACTGGCACGATCTCGGCTCACTGCAACCTCCACCTCCCGGGTTCAAGTGATTCTCCTGCCTCAGCTTCCCCAGTAACTGGGATTACAGGTGCCCGCCACCACATCCAGCTAATTTTGTATTTTTAGTAGAGACAGGGTTTCACTATGTTGACCAGGCTGGTCTCGAACTCCTGACCTCAGGTGATCCACCCGCCTCGGCCCCCCACAGTGCTGGGATTACAGATGTGAGCCACCACACCCGGCC